CCGAACCATCAGTGCCGGGCCCTGCCGAGGAGTTATGAGGGTTTATTGGAGCAAAAAGTTTGCCATTTCCTAGGATAAAAACCATTGTTTAAATTTTACTAGCGTCCATTGAGCAGCGAAGCGTGAATATTTTCAATTCGAGTTTTTATCGCATAAGATGTAGCTTCTACTGCTTCATTTGAGCGCTAGGAAGAAAGCTACGAATATTTTTACCTTACTTCCACCTTCAATTTTTTTCTCCAATAAACGCTCATGACTCCTCGTCCAGGAACGCTCCGCATAAGGAAGACAGATTTGGAATTAGCATTTTATGCGCTCCACAATGGTTTACCACTTTTCAAAAGGCCACTTCGACTAACCATCCTTCCTGTATTACTTACCTACAGCGGTCTTTTGGGACTTCACTAGAATCTCATGATTCATTATTAATTATCACATTTGCCTTGGTTTATCCTGACAAATTGTTTGACAAAAGTTTAGCCACCTTGATTTGAGGTCTCATCTGCTCGCAACGAAATTAGCAAAGACCCGCGAGGCATAATTGAGTGACCGTAACCCTTGCCTCTCTCCCCAACCCTACTTCCTTATCATCCGCTGAACTTTGAGCGAAACTATCACCACATTACATCTGACAGTAGAAATCAGAATTTGTTCTCCGTCCTAAGTTCTTTTGAGCAACACAAGTTGTAATTTGCTGCATCTTGTTCATTGTCTTTCTCGTTTAGGCGGAGTCGTATCACAAGAAGCGCCAGCATGAGTTATGCTCTAAGATAAGAACTTATCACTACGTCAGTTGATTCCATGGTAAGCTCCTGCTTAGGCAGTTCAAGAGATTACAACTTCCTTCACTACAATTTCACGGAAGTGCTCTAGATGCATATGAAATTTCTTTCATGTTTGGCTCATTCCATAGCCAGGATTTTTTATTTGAAACCTTCACTGCTCTCCTCTTTCGAATCCATAGACATTCTCACTTATTGTCTATTATAAAATTTTCAGTCTTCGTCGCTCACGTATTACCTTTGCACAGAATTTGCTGGAAAGAAAACAGGTTTACAGCAGTAAACAATTTACAGCTTTGCAGATGCGATTCTTCATTGTTCTAGCCGTCGCTGTCGCAGCAGCACTTGCTATTCCCGGATCAGAATCGGATGCACTCGAATGCGAGATGTGCGAAATGGCAGTAAGAACTGTAGTTCCCATGCTCGATCAAGATACTAAAGACATTGAAAATGTGAGATTTGAAAAAAACGTGATCAAAGTGCTAAAAAGCATACTGTTCAGGCAGTAAACAACGAATGCAAGCAGCTCCTCCATAAAATACCATTCGCCACCCAGAAATGCCAAAAGTTTGTTGACACTGACCTGAACAAGATAATCAAAGAGCTCGAGTCTGGAACAGCTCCAAAAGATGTGTGCAAGAATCTCAACATGTGTTAAATAATGGCTCCTCCTCACTTGTAGTTCTTAGTAAGTATCTAAGAATAAATATATGTAACTTTAGTGGTGCATCACATTGATCTAATTTCGATGGTACATTGATGCTGTCTGTCATTAATTTACAGAAAGCTTAGGGCAGGCTATACATTGCAGGATAGGTCACATGAAGGGAAGCATCGCGTTGATGGGCATTTCCGTTATATTGAAATTCTCAGCTTTTAAGGCAATGTCTTGGCATTAGTTCTCCTCACGTACAGAGTGAATGAGTCCTCATGACATACGCAGACAAAGAAAAATACGGGTACTAAGAGCAGCGGGTATAACACGTCTTGGGCAACTACGTGCATGCGGAGCCGCGGAAACGGCGAGAACAGATTTTCTCGAGCCTCTATCTGAATTCACACAATGCAGTTCATGCCAATGCTCTTCAGTCACTGTGGGATGCGCACTCTGGCGCAACACCAAGGTGGCCCTACTCTTTCCTTAAAGGCAGTGTCCAGGCAAAATAGGACCCATGCGTTTTTAGCGTTTAAACTGATGA